GCCCTGACCAGGCCGCCTGGGCGCTGCGTCCAAACAGGGTCCCCACACAGCTGGCCCTGACCAGGCCGCCTGGGCGCTGCGTCCAAACAGGGTCCTTCACCACAGGACCCTCCACAGCAGCCACATGGGCCCAGGTCTGTCCTGGCTGCACCCTCATCTCTTGTCTGAGCATCCTGGTTTGTAGGAAGGGGACAGGATAGACTCCTGCTGAGGGAACTGGGGTTAGGATAAACTGCTGTCTGAGCCCCTCCCCCGCTCAGCTCCCCCCTCAGCCACCCACTGAGGGCCTGCTGAGTCATCTCCTTGGTTCCCCAGCCCTGAGTGAGCGCAAGCTGTGCAAAAAAGGAGCCCCTTCCAGCCACGCCCATTCCAGGCCTGCCCTGCCCACCCTCCGCCTCCAGGTGTGCTCTGCTGTGCTCTAACCCGACCCTTCCCAGGCCTCTGGGCTCAGGCCTGGGCCCTGCAAGGACCCCATCTCCATGGGCTTCCCTAAGGATGTCTCCCTGCCTGGGCAGCCCTGCACAGCCCCCGGGGCCCCGTCCCAAGGCCCAGCCTGGCAGGGCTGAGCACCATGCCCTGCCCAGGGCACATCAGGGCTCCCCCTTACTGCCTGCCCCGCCTGGCCCAGCCCACCTGCCAAGGTGCCTTGCTGACTCCAGAGCTGGCCCCAGTGTCATCCGCACCAGCCCAGCAACACCACGCCCTGGCTGCTGGCATGCTCAGCAGTCACCCGGACCCCATCAGAGACTGGTCAGGCTGTTCTGAAGCTCCCAGCTCAGGCCACACAGCACATCCAGACCACCAGGACCCCTCCACACAAGCATACCCACCCCTCCTCCACCAGGTCCCAGAAACGACCCGGTGTTGACACCGTCACCCCATGGCGCTGGTGAAGTCCACTCCTCAGATCTCACCCTGCTACCCCAGACTCCGCACAGGCTGCCCGTGGCGCTGCGCAGGTGACACAGTGAGGGACAGGCTGCAGAGGGCCAGGGGTGGTCCTGTCCTGTCGCCCCTCACTGGACAGGGCCTCACCAGGGGTTCCAGACACTCTAACAGGGAGACATGTCTAAGCCAGGCCGTCTGATGCGTGGCCAGCTGCCTCAGGGGACTGCGCTGTCCCCAAGCATGCGAGCCGAGCCGCTGGGTGAGGGGCCAGCACCGTGGAGGCTAGGCGAGAGGCAAGGCCCTTCCAGCAGGTCGCATCACAGCAGGTTCCGGGGACAGGCAGCGGAGGATGAAGAGGGAAGGTAAGAGGGAAGGAACGGCCCTGCACATAAAGGCCTGGCACGGCCTCTGCACCCAGGCACGCATGGACGTTAGCCCGGGTGGGGGAAGAGGCTGATGGCGCAGCAGGGCCAGAGCCCAACTGTGAGGGCATGGAGCCCTCCCGCAAACGTGGGCTTCGTCCCTCAGGTTCTGGGTGCCCACTGAAGCAGGAGGGGGAGTCCTGCTGGGCTGTGTGGACATGGACTCCTGCAGGTCAGCTCACAGAGGCAGGCTCCAAGCCCCACAGCCGTGGGCAAGAACAGTACTGGCCAGAGCCACGCCGGGCTGTCCACTGGGAGAGGGGGGCCCTGAGCCACACGGGCTGCCCACTGGGAGAGGGGGCCCACTGCCACGGCTGGCTGCCCACTGGGAGAAGGGGGCCCTGAGCCACACAGGCTGCCCACAGGGAAAGATCAGCTCAGAGCCACATCAGGTTGCCTATGGGAATACAGGTGGGCCCAGAGCCACACTGGGGCGCCCACGGGGAAAGAAAGGGCTCAGAGCTGCACCGTTCTGCCCCCAGGAAGGGAGTCCCACCGTCTGCAGAGAGAGGGCAGGGTGCTGCAGGGTGGGAGTCCCACCACCGCCAGCCAACTCAGCTACGGACAACAGGACACCCCCCCCCCCCCCCACCATGCTGGGAACAGAAAGTACCACAGTCCCCCACACAAAAGCCAGCTTACACGAAGGAGACCTTGGTCCCCAGACAGGAATTCTAACAGCTGTGCTGAGAAGAGCATGCCACCAGGAAACACTCCCATCGCAAACCTGCACGTGCCCCAAGCCTGGATTCTTCAAGATTAACCGAGCCCCAAAGCCACTGCCAAAACATTCCGACGTCCCACAAGAGAGCTCCCCAGAGTGGGGGCCACCATGGCGGGACGCCGAGCGGGCTGGCGGCGCAGCTGTGACTGTGGACAGAGAGGGCTCTCAGCACTTGTGCGACATCACCCCTGACCCAAGAAGCCAAAAGCGTCCGGGGCCAGCCCACCCTGCACAGTGCCCACACAGGCCTCAGGTCCCTCCACCACCTGCCTGGGCCGGCAGCCTGGGCACAGACAGCAGGTTTAATGACATGAGCCAACATGTCACCAACTCTTTCTGCAAAGTTCTCCCTGAATTATCCAAACAGCCAAGCAGGACGTTTAAGTCTCCTGGACTGGTGAAGAAAGTTAAATCCCCATGAGGTCTAGTGACTCACGGAGGCCATGCACCACAGGCTGGCCTGCCCACTGCCTTGAAGCCAAGTGGGCTCACCAGTCTGCTGGGGGCCTGGACAGGACAGGGGCCAGTGGCCCAGGAGGGCCACCCTCTACCCACACAGCCCCTCTGAGCTCTGAAGTTATGTGGGGTCCACTGCTATCCCCCTCCCTTCCTGAGGCACCCCTCCCCACCTCTCCTTTTCCCAGGCAGGTGGATCTCCAGCCTCAGGCTCCTCTTCAAAGCTGTTAGCAGGTGGGCTCAGCTCGTGGCCAGCCAAGGGGACAGGCAGCCTAGGGGTGAAGGGGCAGAGGCCAGACCAGGAGCCAGGGTGGGGAGCAGCCAGGGTGGGGAGCAGCCAGGGTGGGAGACTAGAGAGAAGCTGACACTCTGGGCTGCATGTGGGCTAAGGGAGGCATGGGCTCTGGGGGATGGCGCAGGGCTGGGGGAGCACGGCCGTGCAGACAGAGGGCGTGGGGCTCCCAGCGGGACCTTCTAGAACAGAAGCCTGGACATAGAAATGAAACCACAGGCGCGCTGGAAGAAAAGGCCAGAGGGGTTTTACATCAGCTTGGAAAAGGGAAAGCTCTTCTCAATATCACTCAGAATCCAGAAGGCATTTTAAAATTAATAAATTTATCTAAAAGTACAAAAATCTCTGTATGGCATAAATAAATAAATAGCCAGCACAAAGACAAAAAGACACAATAGACAAAAAACACACCAGGGAAAATGTTGACAGCTCATATTCCAGACCACAGGCTAACTTTCAGTCCATGTGTATGAGTGGGTGCACGTGTGTGTGTACACATACGTGTGGCTTTCTGGGGGTGTGACTGTGTATGCGTGCTGTGCAGCTGGCTTTCTGCATGGGGGCATGTGGATGTGTGTGTACACTGTGTGTCTTTCTATGCGTGTGAGAGTGTGTACATGGGTGTGGCTGTGTGGACTATGTGGACACATGCATGCCTGTGTGTGGCTTTCTGTGTGTGTGTGTGTACTTAAGTGCATGGACACATGTTTTTCCTGTAAGTCAATAATAAAAGGAATCAATTGGAAATGGACAAAGGGCATGAACATATGGTTCACGGAAAGGAAACATAGCTGGCTCTTAAAACGTTCGACAAGATGCTCAACCACGTTCAAACAGATGCAGATTAACACTATATTGCTATGTGATTTTTATCCATCAGATTATCACAGATGGAAACATTTGATATGATTATTGTCAGGGACTCAGGGAAAAAAGTACTTCTACCTTGCTGGCATTCTAAATTGATGTATCTATAAAAATGAAGAATTAACCTACCAGGCGAATAGCCCACACGAACCACGGCCTCTTCTAACTGGAGACCAGAAGAACTAGATGGTGCCTGGCTACCACCGATTGTTCTGACCAGGGATACCACAGAATGTTCCAGATAAAATGGGAGAAAAATGTAGAACAAAAATGCCAGGACTACTGGACCAACAGAGACCAGAGGAACCCCCGAGACTATCGTCCTCAGATACCCTTTGAACTTGGCAGTGAAGCTACTCTTGGAGGTCACCTTTCAGCCAAATAATAGATTGGCTTATAAAATAAACAATATCACCCATGAGTAATGTGTTCCCTTAAGCAATCAACTATACGAGACCAAACGGTCATCATTTACCCAAAAGCAAAGAAGAGAAGGCAAGGAGGGGAAGGGAAGCTAGATTAATGGAAACAGAACAAACAGAAAGTAAATAATGAGAATGCTGACGCATTAAGAAAAATGTAAGCAATGGCATAGAACAATCTGTATAAAATTTGTTAAATGGGAACCTAGTTTGCTGTGTAAAGTTCCACCTAAAACACAATAAAATATTTTAAAAAGAATTAAGCCACCAACTCTCTCTCTGCAAATATAGCCGATCTACATGTAACCTTACAACATTACCTCCCGCTGTCACTCACTCAACGTGTTTTATACACAAATACTGCAAACGGGAGGAGCTACGGAAGTCGGTCCACGCATGCACAGAAGCTGCAGCAGACACAAGAAAAGAACGGAGCTTGCGTGTGGGGTGGGGTGCAGGGGGTGACCCAGGAGAGGGCACGACCCGGGAGAGGGCACGACCCCTGGGAGAGAGCACGTGCACACATTCACCCAACGAGGAGCAGACCCTTGACGGAGGTGAGAACTGGCAGACGAAGCACATGCCTTCCCTTGTACCTGTGTGTGGACGGCCTGCTCACCTATGGCAGATTTAATGCAAAGTCAGCAACATGGTGTGAGGCCCTCCCAGCTCTCACACCGCCTCGGCCCTTCACCAGCCTGGAGCCGGGGCCCATCTCCCTGGGGGTTTCTGGCGTGGGCATGGGATGATGACAAGGAGATGGCCCCATTACAGACAGAGCACTAAGGGGTTCAGGGACAGACCTGTTCTGCCCATTCCAGGCTTCAGCCTCCCAGCCGTGAAGCATCCCGGGCGTTGGCACAGCCCAGGCCCTACCACCCCCGCCCACTCAGCTGCCCAGGCCACACCATGCCCAATGCACCTGCCACCCGGCTCAATGCAGCTGCCGCAGCCCAACAGTGGGTGTCTGACCCCAGACGGGAGGACAGGGGCGGCCGGGGGGTTGGGCGCAGCAGGACCCTTAGGGAATGCAGCGACCCACAGAGGTGGCAGGCAGGAGGCTGCAGTCGCGCGAACAACCCGCCC